GAGAAAGACAGCTGAACCTCTAGACCGCATTCAATTGGATGATAGGTTGAGCAAAGAAAAAAAAGGGCTTTGTTTCTTTTTTGAGAAGAGCAGAGGTGAAAAGGAAGTGAGCAGAAAACATGGCAATAAACGAGAATGAAGTAAGGGACCCTCTGAAATTTTTTTTTCTTTTTGACAAAAAAACTATTTTTTTTTTTTTAGCACTTCTCTGGTGATAAAGGTGAACCGGTCGATCAGCAGCAACTTGATGATGCTCTGAAACCGGTCAAAACCGCTCTTACGGCGGTTGATACTCGCCTTACGGCGGTTCAAACCATCCTCAACAGCTTGGTTACCAAGCTCGACGAGGTACTCAGTCAGAGTACCACGTAGAAGCTCACCGCTTCTGCTAGGTGGAGTATTTCTTTAGCAGGTGTTCCACAAGGAATTCAGAGTAAGATTGAGCTGGTTGTTCCCTATCATGAAAGAGTGTTCTAAGTTTCGACTTCAATTTTACTATGGATTCATTGTGGAACACCTACTAAAGAAATACCTCGATGCAAACCTGGCTAGTTATGTCGGGTCCGCTTTATATAACGATGAGTTGTCTTAGGGTGGCAACAGTAAAAGCAATGACCACTCAGAAGCAAATCCTATTTTAATGATTTGCTTAAAATGTGGTCATTGTGACAATTTCATTAATTGAGGATGTGAGATGTAGGGTATAGATAATATTTTCTCTTACATACTCCCCAGTCAGACAAAATCAATAAAAAAACGCGTAAAAACGGACCAAAAATAAACGCGGTTAAATACTGTCAAGCGATAATCAGACTATCGACTTACAAGAAAACACTGATGTTCTGATTTTCTAATATATGACGGTGAGATGAACGATGCATATATAGACAATCGTTGCTGATGACAGTCAAAAGTTTGAGAATGTTTATATTTAGAAAATGAACAATTTTGTTTTGCACATAAAAATCATAATAATAATATTGACTAAAAATAACGATGAATTGCTTTTTTTACATTAAAATATTCAATTTTTTTTTTATTCTGAAAGTTTTTTTATATATTGATTACAAAATAATAAAAAGTACGAATAATAAATCAAGAAAAAAGAATTATTATTTGAATAAAAAGAAACGATTGTAGTACGAGACTTTTTCAATTTATCATTTTCAATGGATTTTGAGAAAACAATCCACTAGGATGAAGTATGGTAGATGCTTTTACATATAATATATTAAACCAAAAACGATTCAAAGAGTGTAGATGTGATTAAACAAAATATCAACATCTATATTCACACTCTTCTTGATATTATTAAAAGTACTGGTTATAAATGCAAGTTTTAATCCAGATTTGTGCAAATTTCTCTTAGACTCCAACGACATAGTTTAAAGGTCAGAGACCAAATGAGCATAGTTTTCCTAGTAAAATGAAGAAGAATGGCAAGAGAAAATACATTGAATGACATCATCAACCAGATTTAGCCTATTCTAAAACATTCTAAAGTCTTTCTTGAAATTTCAATCGGTGAAATATGTTTGTGAATACTTTAAATAGTATGTAGTCGTTATGGGATCAATATAGAAAAGGTAAACTGTTCCTATTCTAACTTTAATGGATACATATAATCGACTTATTTACTAGTTAAATCAATGATTGAAATCATAATAAAACACATAATATGAAATACAAATCAACAAGCCAAACAGAAATTAGAGAATAAATGCACAAAATAAATGAGACTGATAGTTTTCATGGAAATACACCCACCCACACCCACACCCACACCAACACCCTGTCTGAGGTTTTCCATAAACCCTCACATGAACCATATTTTCTTCCTTTCACAAGCGTACATGCTAAACATATAAAGAAGAATATTCCATATGGAGCTCTTGTAAGAGCAATCAGATATTCTTCTACATATAATGCCTTCAAACATGAAGAAGCTTATATATGCATGTCATTGTTACTTAACAAATATCCAATAGAATTTATTCTTAAACAATTTGAAAGAGTCCTACAGACATTTCAATGCGTAACACCTACACAAAATAACTATTCTGAAATAAGAAAGTTTTTGTTAAACGTTGAAGATAATAATACAAAGAAGGCTGGAATTGATTTCGAGGTCAACATCATGTGTCATTTCTCTTATTGTAAAGGAATGCATGATTTTTCGACCCGTTTTCATAAACTCTGGAACGATTGTTTTTCAGACACAGTCATTTGTAATATGAAGCCAATTATCGGTTCTAGAAGATTGGATAATCTTCAAGATTATCTTGTCAGAAAGAAACCAGAAAGATCAGTACTAAAAATTAAATGAATAAATGATCAAATACTTCTCTCTGATCTGATTATAACACTTCTCTGAGATAGGTGTTCTATTTAGAACACTTCTCTGAGAT